ATGCCGGCATAATGGTATAACAAGAGATTGAAAACAACCTGTTCTGGGATGGCAAATTGTTCAATACAGAAACTAGCTAAGCGAGCTGCAATATAAACGAAAGAGATAAGACGTTTTCTTCGCAAGAGTGCCTCAAAAGAGGGTTCAAAGGGAGTTCCTTTCCTTTCCTTTATTGAACTCTAATACAGCTGACCAGGAAGCTGTCCTATAAAGACGTGACATTTCAGCAAACGTGCGTGACATTGTCAGAAAGGGTCGTTGGAGTCGGGCTCGCACGACTTGCAGCCCAGTCTGGAAAAGTGCTCAGATCGAACATGGCGACACCATATGTGTTAACACAGATCACCAACACGGTGACAGCCAGAATATTCATTCCCAAACCGGCTTTTGCCTGAGAAAAAAGGCAAAAAATATAACATGTGTGTCAGTTTTTATGAAGTCCGAGTTGTGAGCGTTGCTGAACTAATTAAACTAAGATCACGAGAAGAGCCTGCAGAACGCATAAGTCAAAGGCGATTGAAATGACTAAGGAAACACTTACATGTTAAAACCGTTACCATGCAAAATATATCCTGAGTAAACTGAGAGTTGATAAAATAAAGATGGTGAATTTTAATTGGCCACTCGACCAAAAATCCTTTCAAATGACGCAACTCTGCAAAGATCCTTGTAGTGTCCCTGATTGGTTGTTACTTTCGCGCGGAAATTTCAAACTCGAGCGACAACCAATCACATNAGCTCCGCTATGATTAGAGGAAAAGTATTGAATTTTTGATGGTCATCATACTCACCAGAGAAGCCAATATCGGTAGAAAGATGGTGGCGGTTGCTACATTGGAGGTGAATTCGGTGAATGTGGTGATCAAAATACAGACACTCATAACGATTGCATAGCTTGGAATGGCGTCGAGATTAGCCAGCTGTGAACCAACCCACTTGGACAGACCGGACACCTGATCAGAGAATTGAAAACAAAATATTTGTTTTCCGTGCGAAATATATACTGGGGCTTTTATTTGTTGTGAGTTGCAAGGTTTGATTCAGTTGCGTAAATGATTTTCTCTGGTTGGCTAGAAGATGATGACGTTGAAGGGTAAATGAACCAATCAGAAGGTACGATGACGGCACGTTATTGGAAAAGAATTAGAGG